TTATTATATTTTGTGTCTGTAGCTGAACCTAATACATTACCAACGCTTTCATAGAGAAACTTTTCCCGACCGTGAGATAGCCCCTTGTATTTCTCCTTTATAGCACTTATTGACTGGTAAATGACTAATTACTTACAGAATTTTTTTTTTTGGTTTAATATATGTAGCAGAGATGGTCAGTGCCCAACCTACACCCTCTTGGAGCTCACCATTGCCATGCACAATGACCCGATGGCTTCTAAGTACAAACACTTACAACTCTTTCAGGACAGTTTTGTCTAGCTGCCTATTCCCAAACAGTCCACGTGCATGGCAGGCTACAAGTGGCAGATGGTTAGTGTCCCACAGAAACAGTCCTCAACTAAGGACTAACAGGAGTTGGTGGATTCTCCATTTTCTTTGCCTCTTGATGGGGATACCTCTGAGGTGTGGTCTACACTGTCTCCTAGAGTTCCCCAGAAGGATTTAATCTGAATTATGGCAGTGATAACCTGCTAGGTAATATACCTCATATTGGCTTCTTTTCCTATCCTGTCTCACTTTCACAGACCTCTTCCAGAGCTTCCTGGGATCACTTCTGAAGCCATTTGTATGAAAATCTTCAAATTAAGAAAGGTTTGCTTCTGGGCAACCCAATGTAAAACAATATATACCTCCTCAACTCCTTTAGGACTGAGAATGTATTTGTTTCATTCACCTTGTTCACCATTTTACCGCCAGCATTTAGCAATAGCTCAAGGCAACCACTCAAAAAGTGGTAAGTAAATATCAGTGCACTTTTTTCCGCTCTGACACAACTAGAGTTTACCATGTAAGACTGGTCCTATAACGTATAGACAGGAAGCTTATCCTGCCACCATCGGGATGGGCTGCACACTTCTATAGCATGTCTCCGAAAAATAATGTTGTGCTCATTGGCAATTATGTTTCATTATTTTTTAAATGACATAAAGAAAAACTATAAGAAATGATGGCACATATCCTCTAATATAAGTCCCTGGATTTTGTTAGGATATTTCAATGGCCAGAATCTTCTACCACTCTCCATTATTGACCTCCTAAATTTGGCTGCTTTTTCTTGACCTATTTGATGGCATTTTTGTGAGTAAAAGACAGAGCAACAAATAAAACCATAAGCATTGAAGTGTGGTGGTTAAGAACATGCATTTCAAAGTCAAATAGCTCCCATTTCAAATCTCAACTCTGTAATTTGTTTAGTGGGCAATCCTAGCAGTTTATATTAAATTTTCTCCTCTGTAAAGTAGGGATAATAGTGCTATAGCATAGGATTATTTTAAAGATGAAATAATATATGTACAACAAATGATTCTAATTGTATTGAAGAGAATACAATGCAACAAATATTATTCAAGCATATGGTTGAAGACATTGACTATCTTCCTCAAATAACATTTCTCTGGGAAGTTACTGAACCATTCCAAATTATTCAGAAAACCATGTCTAAAATCATACTAAGATTGTTTCCCATATTTTCTTACTCAAAGACTTTACCTCTATTAGGGGTTCCTATATCTGGCCTTCTACATCCCACCCACCCCCCCCACCCCCGCCATGTGCATACACCCTGCCCCAGGCCACTTGCAAGTTAACAGAGCTGAGCTGTAATACTATGTTTTACCATCAGTGGCCACTGTTTGACATTGTTCTACAATAATGTAAGAAATCTCACAACTGAGGCACTGAGTGAATGTCCAAGGAATCAATTTTACAAATTAAAAATTGATTTATTGTGTTTATTTGGAGATATGCCATGCACTTTGGCTCTTTCCACGTTCCACCAGGGAGGATCAGAGTTGGGAATACTTAACAATAGTGGTATATAGGACTCAGAGGAGGGTATCTCCCCCCACCAGCGGCACAGACTGTGGTGGGTTCTTTCTGGGTAGTTGTGATAATCAGCTGCCTACCAATTATAATCTGGGGTTTGTAAACAGCCAGAAGATTTCCTTGGAGGGAGTAATTATATTCCCTTTAACACACTGTAAGACAAACACTTTCTCTTAAACATGCTGTGTGCTGACTACAAAGCAGATTTACTTTACTAATGCCAAAGGAAAACACTCAGAACCAAGGCAAGGGACCTCGGTGGTACAGAGATAGTAGGCAGTGAAAAAAAGAGCAGGGAACATTAAAAAATGCCATGGAGTATTGTCAATCAGGGGAGAACTGGTTTGGCCTGTCTGTATAAACACACATGGTGAGATGTTAAGAGCATGGATTTGGAGTTGGTCTTCTATCTCATTATAACTAGCATGTTCCTTTGAGCACAATAACTCATCATGTTAAGACTCATTTTCATTTTCCTCTTCCATAAAGTGGGAATAGGAATTCTTATCTCATGAGATTATTTTCAGAATCAAATTAAGAAATATACCTAAAGTGTCTAGAACAGTAGACACCTCCAAAACAATAACATATATTGCAGATATTATTGGTGCCAAAGCTAGGTCTCATTGGAATTCATCATTCCATGTATAAAATGATAGCTTCCTGCAAAGAGCATACACAATTCTCTGCCTGGGATTCTCTCAGCCCAAGTACATGGGACAGGATAGAAATGTCAAGGAGTTAACAATTACAGGAACAGTTATTGGCCAATCAAGCATAGACTTTAGTGAATAAATACCTATGTCCTCACTCCTTGGGTGAGACAACTCTGAGACTTGTTCTACACTGTCTCTCAAATGTCCCCTGCGGGTTTGAGCTCCAATTGTCCACTGCGGTAAACTGCTTATTAATACATCCCATATTGGGTACCATCAATTTTCTCTCTCACTTTCCTACTTCCCAGCCAGAGTTTCCTGGGATTACTTCCAAAATAAACCACGGGTGTTCAAATTCTTGTTTCAGGATAGAATCCAGCCTAAACACTATATCTCACAATGTAAACAAGACAAACAATTTGGACAACTGGATTCACAATAAAATGTCCAATTCACTAACCAAGCCCTGTCTATTCAGGCTTCTTTTAGCCCTCTTCCTTCCATCCCGTGGCTATTGCATCAGTTGGGAGCACTCTCATTTATTTTGGTTTTTTTGGGGGGGGGGATTTTTTTTTTTGCCTGCGCTTAGTCTCTAACTGATCCCCATGCTTCCAGTAACTCTATCATCTAATCCATCACTCACTTACTGTCAAAGTTATTATCCTAAAATGCAGTTCTGGTAATGCTCTTCCCATGTTTTTGTTTTTTAAGCCTTTATGGCGCCAGTTGCCTCTGTGATTATGTCTTAAATTTTGTAACCTGGTATGTGAGAACTTTCAAAAGCTGGTCCCAATCAACCCTTCAAACTCATCTCCAATGATTGATAAATACAGCCAATGTTCTGCCTACATAGAACAAACCAGCATCTCAAAAGCCCTTTTACCTGTTACCTTTTGGTGTATTTGAATGAGCCTGTGACCTTTTCTGCCAGAAGAACCTGCCTCATCCTTCAAGGTCTAGCTCAAACGTTCCCTCCTCCATGAGAACTTCTCCAACTCTCTGGACTGGTCCAACTCTCTGGACCAGTTTTTCTGTGCGTATTCTACTATGTACCAATTATGTATTAAGCCCTGGGAAAATCACGGGATAAAAGTAGAAATAGCTCCTGCTCACATGAATTTCACAGTTGGATAAAGGAAACAGGTATTATCAGGTAAACATATAAAAGTTAGCTACAAAGGGACATAAGTGTCTCTAGTCATGGAGGTTACCAAACTGGAGGTTGGAGTGCCTCCCAAAAGGAATGGACCCTTGAGGTGACAATGAAGTAGGAGTCGACACCAGATAAAGGAGATGGAACACATACCCCAGGCCAAGGGGACAGCAGGTGCAGAACCATGTGGAAGGAGGGAAAATAATCTTTTTTTTTTTTTTTTTTTTTTTTTTTTAAGGAATAGAAGACCAGGGCATTTAAAGCAGTGAGGCGCAGGAAGACTGGGGGAAGAGAAGAGGTAGCACTTAGATCATTCATTGTACCACATTTGTTGACTCTGCCCTTCCTGCCTCATGCTCTGAAATTGACCTTTTCCAATATAAGGACCATGTCTCACTGAAATCATATACACCCCAGCACTTCACACAACACAGAAAAAAAAAATCAATGTGCCCAATTTATAGATGAGGGTGTTGAGGCTCAGGAAGGTTGAATGAGTTGCCCAAGATCTCAAGGCTGGCGATGGCATAGCAACTATAATAGAATATAGACCTAATTCCTCAACTGCATCTCTTTCCTTAAACTGCCCCTAGGAAAACCAACTCCTCTCCCATCATTTTATTTAAGAAAATCCAAGTTTTTCTATGAGCTATTTTTCTCAAAGAGCCTGATAACAAAACAAAACGCCAGTTACTACTCTGTGTATGTACGTGCATGTTGGGGAGCGGGTACACGTTGGTCTTCCGGGGATCAGAACAGGAGCAGGATCCTTTCTGGTACAGGATTCTTGTCTAGCCTCTTTAATAGCCCGAAATGGTCTGAGTGGTGAGAATTCGCCGTCATAAGGAAGCCCCTGGTGATGCCCAGAAAAGAGCATCCCGGCTGACCCTGCAGGTCTGGAGTGAGAAGACCCCGGACTGGACTCTTCAGGGCAGTGAGCGGGATCTCTAGTTCCCTGCTTCCCAAACCTCTCCGCCCTTCCACTGGCTGTTTGAGGAACGATCCAATTTCCCGACTATCCCGCCCAGCCTCGCAGATGGGAGGGAGAGAGGGCAACCTTGTAGCGGGAAGGCATCCTCCAGGCCCAGACATTCGTCTCGGTCCATTTCAAGGCACCCGAGCCTGTGCCGTATATAACCAAGTACTGGGCCCACGGGTAGGCGGATGACAAGGTGGCCTCTCTAGGCTCTTTTTAGTCACAGATCTTCGGCAAATCTGGGTTTGGGGTCGCGATCCCGAGCCTAATTTGGGACTATTTCAGGAACTGGAGTTGAGGCTTCATTTGGACAGGAAAGAAGGGTGGGGCGGGGGTGGAGCGCTTAGGGGCACGGCTCTTGTGAGGATTACGGCGGAGACTGTGGACCGCGGCGGCGCTCGCAGAGGCTGCAGCCATTGCATAGCCGAGCATCCCACATTCAACAGGAGGAACCCGCGGGAGAGGAGCCCCAATCCCCCAGCTCCGCAGACACCGCAGCCCGTGCGCCCCGCGCCCTCGAGCGCCATGGCCAAGGAAGGAGTGGAGAAGGCGGAGGAGACGGAGCAAATGATCGAGAAGGAGGCAGGCAAGGAGCCTGCGGAGGGCGGCGGTGGCGACGGATCGCACCGCCTCGGGGACGCCCAGGAGATGCGCGCGGTGGTGCTGGCCGGCTTCGGGGGTCTCAACAAGCTGCGGCTCTCCAGGAAGGCCATGCCCGAGCCTCAGGACGGCGAGCTCAAGATCCGCGTCAAAGCCTGGTCCAGTATCCGCGCCTTTCTCGCTTTCTCTCTTTTTGCGCGCTGGGCGCTAGGGAGGGGGTGGGAAAGCTGCAACTGGGATGCTGCCCGGGTAGGGCCGCCGCGCGCACCCCCTCCGCGCGTTCACCCGGGTCTCAGAGCCTCCCCGGGCCAAAGCTGGGGAGGATGCAGAGGGGTGGCCTCCCCAAGCCAGATCTAGGGGTGACGAGAGGAAAATGTGAGCTCCTGAGCGCAGGGAGAATGCTGGCGCCCAAGCACCCAGGGTCTGGAAGATTGCGCTACGGGAGTTCTCCGTCTGAGAGGAAACTCAGCTTCTGCACAGGGGGGTAGATGCTTAACAGAATTAAAAATATATGTATTAAGAACCGCAAGCCCACTGTGTGCCAGCTGCCGTTGGTAGTTTTACATGTGCGATCCTATTTAATACTTCCTAGGACCTCATGAGTCAAGTGCCATCATGATCCCTTTACAGATAAGAAAGCCGCCGCTCAGAGAGAATGAGTGATTTGCCCAAGATCACTCAGCTGCCACTAAGTGGCTTGGCCGGGAATTTGATACCTGATCTTTTTCTTACCTCTATGCTGTTGTCCTGAAGGGCCTGGGACAGGGTGCAGGGCTGGGTCCCGCCTCCTGCACACTTTCTTCCCCGTAGCTTGACGGGGAAAGCAACTAGGAAGCAAGAGGGTCGGTACATTGCATCCAAGCTTGGTGAGGGTGGAGGCCAGGCCTGCAGCGCAACCCCCTCCATCCCCCTCTCCATCCTCTGTTTCTCCGAGAGGGGAAAAAACGCTGATCAGTCTCCCCGGAATTCCTGCTCCCATCTCAAAAGGAGCTCGGCTCTCTAAGCTGCCCTCTATTCCCCATTCCCCCTGGGGGAACTTCTCCAGGCCCTCAGGCTCAGCTGAGATTCCCTGGGAGAGTTTAAGCCTCTCTTTGTGCGGGCACTGTAAGATCATTTCCCTGAAGTTCTGGGAAGCGCTTACCCGAAAGAGGCGGACTGGACCCAACACTAGGTTTGCATGTTAAACTTGTAAGGGGAACTTGCTATTATCACGGTGAGACGAGCCTGTTCCTTCCCATCTGTTTTGTAGAGCCTCCCAGTACATACTGCTCTCCAAAGCAACAGCCAGCTCACAAGCTCCTAGGTTAGATCAGAAACCCAAGATCTGGACCTGATCTGGAGGCAAGAGAAATGCAAAGGAGCGTCCCCTCCCCTTCACCACCTTGAGAGCAGACGCAGGTTTCATCTGCCAGATTAGAAGGCAGCTAGTGGGAGAAGCAGGCACTGATCCCTGTCTTGCTGCTCATATATGCAGCTGGTCAGGTTTGACTCTGAACACTACTCGTGGGCTTCTGGTGAGGAATTCAGGGTAAGGGAAGAGGTTTTTGCAAACCGGGGGATCCTGTACAATGAACTCTTATTGAATCAAGTTGTTTGATCCCAGAAGGAGAGCTTATACCTGACCTTTCGCAGCTAAATCCCCAAAGACCAGCCCACTCCCCCACCCCACAATGCCTAGTACACTGTTTGGCGCACGGCACACCCTAAATAACTTATCGCTGAATGAATGGATTGAGGAAAGAGCTCGGAGGAGGATTGTTGTGTCATTATTTTTCTTTACTTGCTAGTGGAAGAGCTTTTGCTTAGTACAACTAAAACCATGCATTTAGAACTCTCCTTCCTTAACCACTTCATCAAAAAATATTACCTGCATACACACACGTATACATACATGTGTATATACATATATACAATTATATATACAGTTACATATGTATGTGTATGTAATTTATGACCCTTCATCCAAATTGAGGATGGGATTCTAGGATTCTACGTCAGGGTATATATTCAGAGATTGAAAATGATAAATGGCCTTAATTAATAGACTTAGGAGGGCGATAAAGTCAGATCGAACAGTAAACTTACAAAAAAAAAAAATAGGGGGTGCGTGTATTACTTCAGACTGAAAAATGCTAACAAGCAATAAAAAAAAAAAAAAAAAAAAAAAAAAAAAAAAAAAAAATGATAAAAAAAGGAAAGAGCATCATCTGCAGTACACATAGTTCTGTGTTTTCCAGTCTTATGCTAACTGCATAATTGCTAATAGGAACTGAAGCATTTTGAAATAATAAATGTCAAGATGAAGGCCAAGACATTGATTTTCAAAGCCAGATGTGCAAGCCTGTTCTTCAGTGGAGCTCCACACACACGCGCACATACACACACACAGGAATCACTGCACTTCCCCCACCCGAGTTGTTCAGAAAGCCAACCAGGCTGCAGGTACATTTAGGATACAGTGTTGCTAACAGCCCAGATTGATTTTCCTTTCACCAAGCTAGAAACAGAGTTAATGGTTTTACAAGGATTGTAATAGGCTTGTAAAGATGGCCCACTGGGCACCTCCTTCTCCAGTGGGCTGGGATTGGCTGGCCAGACATACCCATTGATTATAAGTTTTAGCCTTGGGATCCAGGATGACTCATTCTGTATTTTTATGAATCAGCCGATGGCTTCCTGGATGAAGGTCTCCCTTTTATCTGCTCTCTATTTTTAATAGAAACCTTTTTGTCATAATAGGATATGCTTTTTGCTTGGAATAAAGCATAGTCCATTTGAACCAGTATTAGTTAGACCTGGAATGACGTTCCAAGTTGGCTATACATTTTATGAAAATGGAAGAGATGAGGCAGGAAGGAATATCTATTTTATATCATTTACTCTCTTTCATTCATGGGTCAATGGCATGAGTATTTTTCCTGTAGAACAGAAGAGCAAATTGAGGCTTGGAAACATTGAGTCATTTGCCAAATACATCACACAATAATAGAGTTAGGATTTGAATCTGCTTCTCCTTGAATTTTTGCTGTTCTCCTTTTATTCCATTTTGTCTCCCTTGGTGGAAAAGCCATAGGACATGTGATTCCCCTCTTAGCAGGAAGTCTCACTTTCTTTTCTCCACCGAAGATATTTCCTTTGCTCTTTTTATGTCTGGCTTAAGAGAATATTCTCTAGCTATTCCCAAAGTAGTATGGCTTTCTCCAGAAAGTAGAGACATTTTGGTCAAATGCAGCTCGAAGAGAACTGTTGCTGGGGTCAAGGTTGGAGTGATAGCAGAGTCTTCTGTCTAAATTGTTTTTTTAAATGTCAGTTTTGATGGCAGATAGATTTCACCAATTATTCATGGAATTCTTTATGCAACAAGAGGTTTAAGTGATCAGGTGGAAAAAGCATGTGGTCCTTGAAGAAAGATGGACTTGGATATAAGCTTAAGTCTCTTCTCTTCCTATCCATATGCCCTTGGGGGATGTGTCTCAATGTCTCCAAACTTCCATTATCTGCAAAGTGGGGATGATAAAATGAACCTCATGGTATTGTTGAGAGGATCCAATGCAAGAAAGACACTGGCTGTTGTCAGCATTCAATAAGTAGGATTCGTTGTGACTGCTGTTGTTGCCATATCTAGACCAATGTGATATATGCTGCTTGGTGACCTGACAACTTGGAGGCCATCATTTTAATCATGTATGTAATGTAGGCAATATCATGTCACATTTGCTTAGTGATTAAGAGAGCTTCCTAGACACGAGTCCCAGCTCTGATACTTGCTAACTGGACGTCTTAGGTCTGGCTCCTTGGAGGCAGAGCCTGACACAGGTATCCTTTTCCAGGTGGTTTATTGAAAGCGTGCTTTTAGACCTATGGGAACAAGGGAAGCAGGCTAGGGAAGAGGAAGGTGTTAAGCAAGGATGTGGTCTTAGCTGGATCCCACTGCAGAGTCAGTCCCACCTTGAAGCAAGGAACAGACGGAGCCTTGTGTGTCATTGGCTGTGGGCTGCTTCCTAAGTGGGGACATCAAGCCTCTCAAGCAGAAGTGGCTTCTATTTGAGCAAAATTCTCTAGGGAAAGGGATGACTGAGGCTTGAGCAGCCAACACTTCCAGCAGTTTGGGGATGGGCGTGCTGCCCATAGATGGGATCTGGGTGAGGTACAAACCCTGCCTTCTGGTTGGCCTTGGCCATGTTGTTGTTAAGAACATGTTAACAAGCTTCTGTTTCCTGGGCTATAAAACAGAGCATCCATTTCATAATAGCATCTCCCTTCATGGTGTTGTAATGAAGCTTCAATGACATGCCATATACAAAGACCTTTATAAGGATGCCTGGTGCTTAGCAAGTAGTCAAAAAATGATAACCATTATTATCTAAACTTTTACTTTTGGTTGCCATAGATACTTTATATGGTTTATTATTCAAACTGGAACTCTTATATTTTGAGACAGGCATAGCAAGTAGTCAAAAAATGATAACCATTATTATCTAAACTTTTACTTTTCGTTGCCATAGATACTTTATATAGTTTATTATTCAAACTGGAACTCTTATATTTTGAGACAGGCATAGCAAGTAGTCAAAAAATGATAACCATTATTATCTAAACTTTTACGTTTGGTTGCTGTAGATACTTATATCGTTTATTATTCAAACTGGAGCTCTTACATTTTGAGACAGGGTCTTGCTCTGTCACCCAAGCTGAAGTGCAGTGGTGTGATCATGGTTCACTGCCACCTTGATCTCCCCAGCTCAAGTGATCATCCTGCCTTGGCTTCCTGCGTAGCTGGGACCACAGGCATGTGCCACCGTGCCCAGCTAATTTTTAAAAAATTTATTTTTTATAGAGACAGTCTCACTGTGTTGCTCAGGCTGGTCTCAAACAAACTGAACCTCTTCTAAAAGCAAAAGGGGCACTGTTTATAATTACTCCTACATAGGAGAAGCTATAATCATAAACTGGAACTGTCTTAAGCAAACTGAGGTGTATAGTTCTCCCCTAACTGATACAAGTCAGAACTGTGCCTTTGCTGCTATCAGTCTTGTCACAGTTGAGTGTCTCTGAGACAGGGCCTGCTAGAATTTTAGGCTGGCAGAGGGTCTCCACGTTGGGCTGCAAGAATGTATTTAAGTGGCCATTAACAAACCTTGTCTGGTTTGTGGCTCCA